TCACGCCACTACACGTCTTCCCCTCGGCCACCGGGCATCCTCAAAAAAGGATGCTTAATAACCGAGCTTATTACGCAGTACGTATTTACTATAATTAAGACATAGTCTTTACCTTGCCGTTTATTCGGTGTTATTTGCTTACTTTACTTCCTATGTCGACAGCAACTATGGGTTTTAAAAACCACGCCCACTTTAGCAAAGAAATGCCTAAAAAGTAACTCGATACTCAATTAACAGTCAACAGAACGACGAGTTACGGACGATATACATTTTAGTTTTGTTGAACGTACATGTTACGAATGTTATTAACCTAACTTCTGAGTTACGGGCAACATAAATTGTTTGTTGTGTTTAACGTTGTATGTTTCACGTAACCCGAAGTTCGGTTAAATGTTAATAACATTTGAGTTACTAAATGAACTTGAGTTTATTCACATGCTTGCCACAGAAAGTGACGTATGTAGGTTGTTTGCCGATATGAGTATTGGTATATGTTGCCGTGATAGCCTAAACTCCACTTGTGGTTCACAGATAATTTGCATGGTCATGACTTTATTGGGGTATGGTTGTTGCATTCGTTTTTTGATCGCTGGCAGGTCAGTGTTTTCCGTTGTGCTTTTTCATCGCCGAAAAGTATTCAAAGTCACGCTACCGGTACTGTGGTAACCATATCGAATCATTTTTCATATTTCTGTCAGACGATGTACACCCAAACCCAGGTCTACCGGCCACCACTAAACCACAATTGCTTATACTGGTATACAATTCGTGACTTATTACGTTTTGCGCTTTAATAATATTTAAGTTTGCGTAGCTCATAATTATAGAAAACAGTAAGGCATGGTAACCTGCTACTGCTCTATATGAGATTTGTAATTTGAGTTAAATCATTTTTTTCCTAAATAAATTGCAACTTAATTTAAACGATACTTTAGTCGCATGTAATAAGTGCTTTGTGAATTTAAATCTACCATTGAGTTTGTGGACTGTGGTCGTGTCTTTCTTCTGACTTCCGTGGATCAAAATATTCATGTATTGGTTCATTTATGGAGAAATTAATCTGCTACTATTTGGTGTTATCGGAGTTTATAGCTTCCCACTTTGGGAACCCGACGCGAAACATTCCTTTGGGTTGCTGAAGCTTGCAATTGATGTTGAAATGTTAAGGTTGCTAAGGTATCTCCCCTTCTCAAAATAGGGTCCCATCATATAATAATCTGCTCTACAAACAATCCGGAATTTGTGCTAACCGAAAATGGTTAGCAAAAATTCCTGATTGTTGTTTGAATTAAACTATTAATACATTAGATTAAACTAATACATTCTCAGTTGATACATTCCAGAAAATGATCGTGGAAAAACGTTGGAACCACATTTCCTAACTCGAGTGAGGCTTTCGATCTTGTGGACTGCGTATTTATGCTACGCAAATTAAAAAAATATATGGACGCTCTAAGCAAGCTCATTTGTGCTTCAACCATACATTCCCTCAAGAAAACGATGTGTTAATTTAAATTGGATTCTCTCTGACGTAAACAATTTATATCTGTGCTTCACAGGGTTATGCCCCCCCCTACTTGGAATGGATTGAACTGTTTTCTTGCTACATTTTTCTACCAATGACGTTTTTACTGTGACTTTTCACCTTTTCCCTCATTCAGGCAGTGGGCCATAACTTTCATACGTTGCAATTTAAATGTTGAAAAAATACCAATCTGAGAATACAAAATCTCTTAGCGTTTTTCTGATGAATGTTAGAATTTCGATGGACAAATTTAGTGATTTTGATTCTGTGGTTGGGCTGAATAAACACGATATTAAAGTGAGATAATCGTGGGCCACACAAGACACATCTTGCTCTAAACTGCACATACACAAGCAGCCTGCTGGCTGAGATAGCTCCGCTGTTGCAATGCACATTTCAATTATAAAGAACAGATATTATTAGAAAATGATCAATATGTATAGTATCAAAGCAATCGGACTTGCTGTTTTCAACAAGAATTCAAAAATATCACTTTTCAACAAAAATATTCACCAAAATTGGAGAATTGAAGATATCATCATGAAATAATAAAATCTGAGAGAGGCCCACATGTAGTATCTATATATGTAATATCAAAGCAATTGGACTTGCAGTTTTTAACAAGAAGTCAAAAATATCACTTTTTACCAAAAATGACAAAAATATTCACCAAAAATAGAGAATTTGAGATTTTTACATGACATGAACAAATCTGAGAAAGAACCATCCAAAGTACTCGCATATCAAATTTGAAAACATTTTGACTTGCGGTTTTGAAGAAGTTGAAATTGTAAAGTTTACGATGACGGCGGACGAACAGTAATATGAACAGCTTCTCTGTGTCGACTTTGTCGACAGCGGAGCTAAAAAGATACCAGAAACCATTCTGAAAAAGAGATGGTTGGCACCAGATGTGCTTGAGTTCTTCTGTATAAGAGTGTCAAGTTACAAGCTCATGTCACCAAAAATGTAAATATTGGTGATTTTGAGGACTAAATTTGGGTCACTATTCGCTATGTGAATTCTGTTGATCTACTTTCAATTGTGGGGTGATTTGCAGAAATCTCTCTAGTACTTGTGGAATACTTATGAAGTTAAACAATCTGTTTAGAGGTGCTGATGAAAAGTATGTTTTGATCATAAGCAATGCTAACATATTGGATGATGCTACTCATTCAGTGATGATGGTATTTCTAACCATGCTGTGTTGAATGTGTCACTAGTCTTGCAGGAAAATCTGAAAACAGTGTTCATGTCTCACCAGGCATATGGTTGATTAAAAAGGCATTACAAAGTGAGCGTGGATTGGTCTGATCGACTTGATAGGTGTAATTGTGAAGCTTTCAATAGGTGATTTTCCGAACAATTGGGAGATCTCGCGAGATGCATGAAAGACGCGCGTCGAACGTCTGCTGCAAAAATCGAACGATTTGATTTTGAACTAGAATTTCTTTATTTCGCAGCTTACATTGACCGGCCGATCTTCGACAGAGGAATATTGCTTCCGAATACCCTCACTTAATCGAAATTGCCTATCATCAAATGTGGACAGCACATTATTAAGCATGGAAATGTCCCCGAAATACTTTCGCGTTTGTCGAATCCCACGCGATGTTTGACGCGACTACGACGCTATGACCTTTGTTTGTCCTGTTTTTACATTCGATTTCACGCATAAAGCGTGATTCTCGCAGTGTACGGAAAATGGTCTATTGGGGACGTTTTATAGACCTAGCTCACAACCTGTGTGAAAATTATGGGTCAAAACGTACCACAAGTAAACAGAACATGAATGACACGCAAAGTTATCGTGAATAAGGCGTAATTGGTGAGCCATCTGTCACAGTAGCAACAACAATCACAACTTTGAAAAATAAAAGGCATTTCTTGATGAAACATCAAGAGCCCAGGAGAGCAAAATGATGATTTGAGCATGAACTTGCATCCAACATCAAAACTAACAAAAAATCATTTTACGTTTACATCAGAAGAAAACAAAAAAACAAAAGACGTCGCTGGTTCACTATAAGACAAACAAACACATTTTATATGGCTACTATGCTCAATGGTTTGTTTTGGTGTTCTTGTCATGAGACTATCAAACTAACATATGACATATTGGATAAAGTGAATATGCTTGAAAAGTCATGCATGCATGGTCATGTCATAAAGTGTCATACAACAGTTTAAAGAAACTAATACATTGTAAAATCATTATTCTTGTATGCAACTTTATAGAGCAGTGAGAACAAGTACAAATTTTGATAATTTTTATTCAGGTGAATAAATATTCTGAAACCAGTCGTTTCTGAATCTACTTTTATCCACAAACAGTAACACCTATGCAGTAAGCCATTATGTTGCTCATCCTGACATAAAGTTTGTGTGAGGTATTGCGCTCTTGTCAACAGAGACTAGAAACAAACTAGAGTACCAACTTGAAAGTAGTTTGCATTCAAGTGAATCTGTCACAGAGAGTGCAATGACTCACATGACCCAGATTTTGCTGGTTAATAAGTGAAGTACATTATACAGTTTTGTTAAGTTGCAAATGGTAATATGATACACCTTGCATAGCTTGAATGAAAGTGACATCACAACATAAAATGTCTGATAAAATCAGATGATTCAGAAATCAAGAGACAGCTGATCGAATTTTAGAACATGATGAGTTTAAGTGGAATATTGTTTTGAATAATAAAAATATAAGTAATCATAGAAGTCATGTTTCAGGAACCATGATGCATACATTCTCTTCTACTCTGGTATGTCAATTATCAAGTTATCATCGCCCTCATATACATCTCCCCCGGTAGTCTCTTCTTCAACTTTAATATCAAGATTAGATCTGAAAATATAATTATATTTAAATGTGGAATTTATCATGAAATGTTGGTATGAATACACTAGAATGAACAATATTTTTTTTACCAGACCTTATTAGTTTTAATTTTCACCAGCTCAGCTAGAAAATTATTTCTGTCTGGCATATGGGCAGTCAGTAATTTTAAGTATTGTGTAAGGAAGGGAAGGGGTCATAAATTGAATCATGTTGTTTTCTCTATTATAAAGTGTAGCTTATATCATTCTCATAATGGCAACAGGAATAGATTTAATCTATTTATATCAATTTTTTTATGTAACTTGTTATGCTTGTATATATCTGTGAATCCACATGTCTCTGTTTTTAATTATGCTGATTATAAACTGTTATGCTTGTATTTATACGCAGAGTGAAATAGTGTTCTTCCTCATGTATGTTGGCTAATAGTGGCATTCAAACCCAAAACATTAAACACAGCAGGCAGAGCCTTTGATGTCTGAGCTATTAGCAATTCCAATGGTGACTCTTGGTCAATATATGTGTTAGAATGGTCATTTCAATGTCATATGGTATGCACTCAATTATAAATGAGCAAATGACAACCCATGCTCGTCGGACAATTATGTAATTGCTTGCTGAATCTTGATCGTTTTTGTCATAAATCTGTTTGGCTGAGAGCTATTCACAAGATTCTAACCCAAAAAACAAGTTATATCCTGCAAACCAATGGCTACTCATTGCATTACCAAATAATAATTCCTAAAAAGACAATGTTTTCACTTACTGTTCTGCTGGTATGGTGCTATGTCCTTCACTTGATTTGCTCTGCTTACTGGAGGCTGTATAAAAACATATGCAATTATGTTATTCATAAAGTATAAAAGACTTAACAGTACATGTATATTACATCACTGAAAATGAAAAGAAACAAGTCTTGGAAGAGGGAGCACAGAGCATTCTTCAGATCCACCTAACCTGATACATGAAGCAGCAAACAGTGGTTTTTGAAGATTGAAGAATTGCAATAATTTTAAGATATTAGTAACAATGTAAATATATACAACAGACGCAAAACAGAAATTCCTTAAACAACATAGAGTTAAGAGAACAATGTTATAAAAGCATTTCATGGGATTTTCATTATTTGTTTTGTGATCTTGGAATTGTGACTTTGCGATACTTCAAAATAACAAGACTATGTATAAATATCAACAGATTTGTGTGTAATAAACCCTAGTTATACCTGTTTTCAAGCGACTTTTCTTTGTTTTTTTTGGAGGAATGTCAGAAAATGTAGTCTGAAAAAAAGAAAAGAGTAATTTGAATAAAAAACATATTAGCAACTCAAATAACACTACACAAATACAGCTTCCACAATGGTTGTTCAAGACACTTATTTTAAACAATACGGATTTTCTTACCTCAGACGTGAACTGTGGTAGAGAAAATGTACCAGCGTCTAGTGATGACTGAAAAAAAAAGTATTTATTATAATTATAAGTTGATTACTTTAACACAACATATCATCCTACAAAGATATATTGTTCAACACTATTCGAACAATGGTGATGTCACTTATATATATTATAACAGATTATACAGTGTTGCTTTATTATATTGCATTGCCCAGACAGGCTCTGCAAAACATTAACTCAGCTGATGAAAAATATTTTGAAAATCATGTTTGCAGAGTTGTAATGTATCAACTTTAAAGTGCCTGAGAATTGTACATTTTCCTTGTTGAGAATATGGCTCTGCAAATGAGATTCATGAAATGATTCACACAACGAACAGACTTGCATTCACTGGATAATAACCACCCAAAAACCCATTTACATGGTAATGATAAACTTGTATAAAAACCCTCTAGACTTACATGTGGGTTATGTTGAGCTCACATCAATGCAGAATAACCACCCAGAAACCCATCTAGACGATAATGATAAACTTGTGTAAGAAACCTATAGACTTACATGTGGGTTATGTTGAGCTGACATCAATGCAGAATAACCACCCAGAAACCCATCTCGACAATAATGATAAACTTGTATAAAAACCCTCTAGACTTACATGTGGGTTATGTTAAGCTGACATCAATGCAGAATAACCACCCAGAAACCCATCTAGACGATAATGATAAACTTGTGTAAGAAACCTATAGACTTACATGTGGGTTATGTTGAGCTGACATCAATGCAGAATAACCACCCAGAAACCCATCTCGACAATAATGATAAACTTGTATAAAAACCCTCTAGACTTACATGTGGGTTATGTTGAGCTGACATCAATGCAGAATAACCACCCAGAAACCCATCTAGACGATAATCATAAACTTGTGTAAGAAATCTATAGACTTACATGTGGGTTATGTTGAGCTGACATCAATGCAGAATAATCACCCAGAAACCCATCTAGATTATATGGTAATGATAAACTTGTGTAAGAACCCTATAGACTTGCATGTGGGTTATGTTAAGCTGACATCAATGCAGAATAACCACCCAGAAACCCATCTAGACGATAATGATAAACTTGTGTAAGAAACCTATAGACTTACATGTAGGTTATGTTGAGCTGACATCAATGCAGAATAACCACCCAGACACCCATCTAGACGGTAATGATAAACTTGTGTAAGAAACCTATAGACTTACATGTGGGTTATGTTGAGCTGACATCAATGCAGAATAACCACCCAGAAACCCATCTAGATTATATGGTAATGACGGCATAGATGTATGTGCACCTGTTTTCTTTTTCTTGCCTTTTTGAAATCCACTATCCTGTAACATTCAATTTCAAAGCTAAACACTCAATATGCAGTGGTTATACAGTTATGCATCTACACATTTACACATTTAGTCAAGAATCATTTTTTCTGTTGCTTGTTTTAATACAGTACAGATTTCACTAAACCTGTCATTGAGTCTTTTCTGCTTTGCCCGTTTTTTGGCATTCGCACCTCACAAATTTGGCTTGACACTCTGCACGATACCTTTTAGTTTACACTTACTATTTGCACAATGTTATTTGGAGATGTTTTATATTGGATTTACAGTCACGAAATATTTTTGTCATCGGTTACATTAGATGCAAATAGTGTCAGCCATGGGATATTTTTGCATGCCTGGGCATTACCTAATCATTTTCAACCATCATTTTTACATCACAAGACTTTTAGAACAGTATGCATATAGCAAGAGTAATTCCACATTATAACCAAGTAATATGCAAATTACTTATTTATTATGCAAGACAAGTTAAGGAAAAATATACAAAATGGCAAGGTTTTTAAAAAAAAGATGAAGATTCAAAAACAATCGCAATTCTAAGGCATAGTTGGATGTACACCTGGATCCAGAATAAAACTGGATATCAAGTATATTGGAAATACCAAATTTAAATTTAAGTGGCTGTTAAAAAAAAAAAAAACACTTTCTACATGTATCTCCAACAATGCATTGTCATAATCATATACTCAGTATCTGGCAGGTGGGTTGCACTGGAAGGAATGCAGCTCAGGCATGCTCATTATATGCCAAATGTGAATTCAGTTAATGAGAACTAAACTTTTATATTGTATGTATAGTATATAATAAATTTTATATATAAATATTTGACTATGTACCTTCATTTCATTTTCACTAGATGATGATAGCGTTTCATCAGAATCTGATGAGGAGTCATTAATTTCCTCATACTGTACCAATCTGTCCAACAAAAAACTTTTATCTCTTGACACTTTCAATAACTTGCGTTGAGTTTTCCGAAGTTCTTCCTGGAAGCACTCTTGTTCCTGCAATAGCCAAATTTATGTTGTCAATTCAATAGCTTGTTTGTGTCTCACTTCACACATGTAAAAATCATGTGTTATTGCTGTGCAGAATCAAATCCTACCTACAAAATGCCAAAGTCACTGTACCATAGGTAAGTGTGCCATAGACTCAATAGAGAAGCCAAAGTCACTGTACCCTGTGTGAGTTTGCCATAGCTCCAATGGAGAGGACATAACCACTGTAACTGGTGCCAGTTTGCCATAGACCCAATGGAGAGG